GAAGTTCGAAAAACATCACACTAGCACTTTTACGGTACTTACCCCGAAAGTTGCTCTGAAACGTTCTATTGATGTTATAATGTGAATTAGATCTACATCATTATACAGTGTGTCCACGGATTGGCTTAACTATACTTGTGAAAATATTTATTTTAAATTAAAAAAGTAATTCTTCATAATTTCTTGCTTGTTAAATAAATTCGATTCACATTGAGAAATTATGAAAAATAACTTTTTCTTTAATTTAAAATAAATATTTTTACAAGTATAATTAAGTCCATCCGTGGACACACATTGTGTAATGTAATACAGAGAGGCTGAAATTGAGACTATAGTAAAATCTCAATCGAGACATGAAAATTTCAAATAAAACAAAATATTTATATAAATTTATTATTAAAATGTTCTTGAAATCAAGTACCAATAGCACAAAAGTAGAGGTAGGTGTAGGCGTGTTCTTTTATTCAGTGCTGTATCCAGCGCTTGCAGCAAACCGTTCGTAAATTAAGTGATGGAAAGACGATTGTATGTGTCAATCATTCTTTTTTCCAGCGGTGAGTTCACCAATGAGTCAAGGCATCCATCGGCTTTAAAAGCCGATGGATATGTGATAGACGAATGGTGAGGATAATCAATCATTTAAGTTAACCTAAAATATAAGAGTTCAAATATAAAACGACTGCAGAATAGATAAATTACATCAATCACTGATGGAACAATTATTGAATAAAAGAACACACCTTATATCACAAACACAAGTACACATGTGGGATAGAAGAAGCTACCTAGAAAGCACTGAACGATTGGACAAAATTAGCTAAATAGTATAATAAGGTACCAATATTGCAAAGGTTCACTAAAACCTTAAATGGTGAACGATGATAAAGCTAGATTGGTGAAAAATAATAAACGAATACAACAATGACTAGGTACATATTATTATATTAGATTACTAGAGGATAGCTAAGTTCGCTGATTTCTTACCTAAGACGCAGAGATATATCTTTTTTAAATCAAGCCTTTTAACTTTTTTTGCATAGATATTTATAAAGTGCTATAATGTAACCTAAATATGACAATTTATTAGAAGAGCATAAATTATATTTTTATATAAAAAGATTTTACTTCTCAATACATTGAATAAAAAAGAAATTGATAACTTGTTTACCTATTATTAATTAAAGGAAATTATATAGAAATTAAAAAATATGCCTTACTTTGTTGTTTTAAATAAAACAACCAATGTTAGTGTATTGAAATTTGTTTGAATTTTACAAATTTTATGCTTGATTTCCAAGGTAGATATATCGATGGCTCAATCAAAAACCGCCACAAGTCAATAAACAAAGCAATTACATTTTTGGTTCAATGGATGCAAAATATCATTACGGTTTTACTTTAAATACCACCACAAACAAAAATATCCTTAAAGATAAATCATTTAAAATGTAGCCACAAACTGTGTCTAAAACTGCCTCAATTCGAGTTATTTTCTTCAAAAACACCCAAATTTTTTACAACTATGCAACAACACACTTTTATAATCGTAATCATTTTATTTAACAGCAAAATATCGAAGCTTTTAAATAAAATATAAAGAGTATGTCAAAAACAAAATAATGATAATAGAGACTTACAAAATTTCAAAATGAAATTTCTCGAAATAATAGTATTTTAGTTGTGGCAGTATTTGATTCAGCCATCAATATGTAGATTTTATAAAAAACAACTGGTGTTTTTTAACAAGATATTCTATTATACTCGAGAGTATCATCTATGATTTCTCTCAACTTTTCTGCTGGGTTTTCACTTGAACTGATGGCAATCTAGCCTGTTGAAGAGAATGAACTGCTTGAATTCTGATATACCTGACATATCATGTACCTATAGATTCACTTTTTATAAAACTTCAGGTGTTATATTCTTCTTTACACTTCTGTAGTATTTACTTTTGCTTCTAAAATTCCTAGAATGTCGAAGGAAACCTAAAAAATAATATTTTTAAAATGTATTTTTAGTTCGATAAAGTATAATTACCTTTTATTTGGTATTTGGTGTAAAATGTTGCCGGACATTCGGTTAAATGTTTATCTTCTGGTTTACAACGATTGATCTGCAATTCTTTGTTTTTATTGTAGTTTTTTTTTATTTGGTGTCATCGGCATCGACTGCTAAAGATACTTAATGAATGAAATAATAAATTTACATCAGGCATTGTAATCTGAAACAAAGACAATGGTTTAGAAAATAGTTATCTATTTTTAGAGGACCCTTACCAAATCTATTCGAATGTATAAATAATAATTATTTATAAAATAAATTCTGGATGTCGAAAAATAAACCATTAAAAAAGACAATTGACAAGAAAAACAGACAAGTGACAATTGACATAAAACTAAACGTTCTGAATTCAGATTTGTAATGTTTACGGTAGGTTAACTAGGTAAATAACAAATAGAAGTTTTGCGAGGTTTTGATTTCCCTCAACAACTTCTCATGAACGTTTCATTTACGTTGTACAGTAATGTTATTACGTTCCCTTAATGCAACATCGCCGAAAGGCTTGGCAACGTTATGTGCTAGCTGGGAATTAAAAAATACATAAAAACAACACTTTTATATTATTTTTAATACCTGGTGTACTGAGAAAATCGTCGTGGGATTTAGTAGGGTATAGATTCATTCAGAATGATCAATTATTTCATTTGTTGTGGGTGTGTGTCAGAATATTGTCAAAAGTATATTTTCAAATAAACATTTCCGAGTTGATCCAAATGAAAAACTACTAGGCTGGAAATGTTTTTTACACAACTGGTAGCTTTTGTGTAATTATTCACTGGTTATATTAATCAAGTCTTCTCGACTACAGGCTCTTAACAACATGGGAAACCTAAAAAAATACAAAATACATTGTCATAGGTACATAAATATAATTTGATTTAAAAATGATAATAAAATAATTGTTTTGATTAAATAGCCAAATAAATAACATACAGTTAACATTGCTGCATTTGAAAAGTACCTCGTTTTACTAATTTTACTCGAAGCCGTTCACGATGGGATCTGATCCATGGTCTTTTAATGCAGAACTGATAAGTCAAGTAAGATCTATTTCCTCCGAATTAAATTTTAGAGCTTACGGAGTAAATGTAATTTATGTGACAGTGGACAAAGAAAAAAGCAAAAAACTATTTTTAACTATACAGTTCACTGGAAAAAAGCAACTGAAGTTGTAGATGTATTTCTGTGAGATGTACAGACAGTTGTCTTTTGTGTCACAGTTTATTCTTTTTCATCTTATTTACATATCTGGTTATTAAGAGCAAAAAATATTTATAAAAAATGTTAGATGAAAAATACCACAGCTAAAAATGAAGTTTATTTTGCAACTTGCAACAAAAACCAGGAGAAGAGAAATCAAATAGCTTTTATTCCACATAAGCTTGATTATCACATGATTAAAAAAAATCTACTAGTTCTACTCCGTTCCACGATGTACTTTTCAAACGTACCACATAACGTTGGTAAATTTGGATATCAGGATCAAAATTTAAACTATTTGTTAGGTAGAGCTATCAGTTTTCCTCATTTAAATTGCATAATTTATTTTGCATACCTTTCTGAAACTTTGGGAAATGAAAAATAACTAGTATTCGAATCCGTTCGAGGTAGACATGGGCGATAAACACATCTCTTTCTTTTAGATTCCATCAGTTCACTAAAAAATTATTTTGCTTTAATAAAATAAATAAAAATATGTAAATAGCTCAGCACATACCACAAAAAGTCTTCGATTGAAAACATGTTTACTGAACAATGTTCATAAAATAGACAAAGGAAAGCACTAAACACAGATTTACTCAATAATTGTTAAAAAATATACAAAGGAAAACACTAAAAGACACTTAAATTCGATAAAAAAAAATCATAAATTACAAATGACTGATCCTGACACATCAAAACAACACTCGTGACATGACAGTTTTGCCGGTTATAAAATGGCGGCCCTGATCATGCGCAAAAAATTTTGGACCCCAAAAATTGACGTGCCTTCGCTTCTGTAAAAGTATTCTGTGATATTGCTTCATTTTAATAATAACGTTGCACAAAACACAAAATAATACCTATTGGAAACAGTTTAAATTAAAATGACATAAATTGACAATCAATGCCCAGACACCTTGATTAACTAAATTTAATGAATTATTTACATAAATTATAAGAACTAGACTATTCTCTAAAACAACAACATATATAGGTATAGGGAATACCTATGTATATTGTTTGAAAGGGCTTCGAAAGATTTATCTAATAATATTAAAACATACTGGGTGTTCTATTTAAAATAACGAAGTTTTTGGTGTTTAAATCTACGTAAAATAAATATCTATTTCGTAAACACCCTATACGATATTTTTGATCAGTAAGTATTTGAGGTTACAGCCCAGAAGACGCTTAATGTACATTAAAAAAATCACTTTGAAATATTAAGAAATGTAGGATATATTTGCAGTTTTTAAACACCCCAAAATTTTGCAAAATCCTCGAATATATCAAAAATGATAGACTCTAGGTATAACAACCCCTTAACAAAGTTACACAAATAAATGCAATAAAATATAGGGTGTCCCGATTAAAAAAACCTAACTTTGATATATTCCAATTTCCTGGAGCACCCTGTATTATTGAAATTATTTTTAAATTGTTGCCTTTTCTGATATACATCTCACCGTAAAAACCGATTTTTTTAAAAAAAGTTTAGTTTTGGATATACAGACCGAGGCGTTACCGGTGGACCACCCTGTATAATTAATTTTTTGTTTGGTGTGTACTTATTCTATTTTATGTATTTATCTATCTATAACCTTTTTAAGTTAGTGATATAAATTTGGAATCTGCAGGATAGCCTTAAAAAGAAATTTTCAAAACTGTAAGGTATACATTTAGGTTACACTAAACATGGCCATTCATAGCATAAGATCTCTTGTACTCTCTTTCAGGGCCATAACATTACCAAAAGGAGGTCATTGTATAGGAATTCAACCAGTAACCAAACACTCTACCAGCAAAGATTCTTTTTCACCTTCAACCGCAGGCGACACTTCAGCGCTTTGTCTCATATCCTGGACGGTTTGGTTTTCAAAATCAGACACTCAAACCTGCTCTTTAATTTTCGATCTCAACCAATGGTACAAAGAACAAATGCCGACTTTTACGAAATGGAAAAACTGCAACAATTACATCGTAAGGACGAGTCTCACTGAATTGATTGTATTCAGCGGTCACAAACCAGCACCCATATTGAAAGTATTGTTGAATGAAAAATCGTTGACCCAGTTCGTCGGGGTGCAAAAATTGGAGGAACACTTTTTCCCCACTTCATTCTCATTTAATTTGTGGATTTTACGAGAAAACGACATTATCTTGGTACTTTCTCAAGGCTTGCAGAAATCATTGCTGGCCCAAATCGAGTCGGCCGGTCCTTTGTGCCTTGTAAGACCGGCTGATGTGTGTCGACAAGCCATTGCTATTGGTTTGACGCCGATATTCGTAGACACACTGTCTAGTAGAGCTCTATCTATCGAATCGCAAAGAGAATTCGTCTTAAATGTAGCGTTGGAGCATCAACTAATAAGCTGGTTGTGCAAGTGCGCTTCCGAATGGGCCAACGGTAGTTTTTCTTCGGCCGGTTGTTCTTTGGACTTCCTCATAACGTGGGCTTTTCAAAGAGCCATCGTTCTCAAGAATAATTGCGATAAATATTGCGCTCCTCTTTTTGATTACTCGCAATCTAAGTTGGACGCCAATACCAGCGTTCTGTTGAATAGTTGTACGAGGCAGTTGAGTAGTTTGTGCGTTCTGTATAAACACGTCGCTACGAAATTAGGGAGCTACGTTAACTACATGGATGTGATCAACGAGCATTCGAATAGATTGGAGATGGTTTCTATGTATTTTGAGGTAAGGAGACGTTTTCTATGTGATATTTATCTAAACACGAAGTTTTTTTTTTGCTCGCCTCAATGAGGTAGGGCATTGTGGCGCAGGTGAGAGTTCTTTATACAGTGTGTCTACATAAGTAGACTGCATATAGAAAACTTTTTTAATATTAGTTTTATCAAAAAAATGTATTCTTTATAAAAAGTTCTGCATAGTCTAAAACCTAATGTTAAACCTTCAGATAATATTTTTTTGAGCAGTATACGAGTTACGTCAAAAATATAAATTTTGCTTAAGTGTAAAGTATAATGATTAAACCAGAGATTGTAAGGGGTTTTCTCGCCACCGAGAAAACGGTTCCTTACGAATGGCGCTGGTTACGGGCGGTTCTCGAGCGTGGTGATGGTTTACAAACTTTCGAAACGGCGTCGAAAGTACTCGGGTAGCTACAGATGGAGATGAAAAATTCCAGGGGTCAAAGGTCACTTAGACACAGGTAATAATAGACCACAAGTAACGGGCTTTAATCGTTTCTTGGGCTGGTACAAAACTTATCACTAGCTGAAATACAAGGAAGTATGGAATTAGTAACCAGTAAGTTAACATTGACACATATTGTTTTAAACTATTTACAACATAAAAAAAATTACATATTTCAACGCACACCCTAGTTGTGGTGATAGTCAATATAACCCTGAACAAAAAAATAAAGAAACAAAACGGACGGTATTGAATTCCGACTAGTCTCGATCAGACGTCAAAATTGAATTAAAATGAATGTTTCGGTCGCAAAAAAAATTTATTAACTTGGCTATTTAGTCGGTAATTAAACTAAAACATAATTTCCCATTTCGGTAAAAAAAAAAATCCCAAGAGCGGTCGTAGCAAAAATTAACTATTTAACTGTTGTATCGGGAATTAAACTAACATGTAGGTATTTTACTATTTCGGTAAGAAAGAATTATCTAAACGGTCATAGAGAGTGCGAGGAGACAGGAACGCGAAAGAACTACTTATAGTAAATATACGGAAAGGGAAAAAATAAATTTATACCCGGGGTGGCCTATTATCCCAGAATGAGCTGATCGTCATCACGAGCCCGCTCAGACAGGGTAATGAAGCTATTTAAGATTTTTTTTAATTTGCAATTTGCACGAAAAAAAAAAATGAAGAATACAAAGGGAAAAAGAAAACAAATGCGGATAGTACCTAATCCAAGAATGAACTGATCGTCATCACGAGCCCGTTCAGACAGGGAAAGGATGCTATTTAAGATTATTTAAATTTACGGTAAAAGAATAAACTATTAAAAGAGGAAAAACGTCTCCTCGAAAACTCCGTTTATAAATATTCCCAACTTAGTTACAACGCGGCACTTACTAAACAAAAGAACTAAATTATATATATTTTTTTTAAATTTATTTTCTACCTTATAACAGATTGTTACAATATTACATTTATAATATATATAGGTAGCTTCCTCAATTGTGGAGTGACCTAGGTACTTATGCCTGTTATGTCCATTTCCACATGAAGAAGCTAACTAAGTGAATTAAAAAAAAATTAGTATAATAGATAGAGTATTCAGTGAGAAAGTGGGAGGCACAGTCAGAGAGAAAGATAAGGCAAGGCGAACTAAATTAAAATTTAGTAATTTTGAAGTTAATTTTAATAATTTAAAAAATTTCAAATACTTGAGGATTTGTCAAGATCAAAGTTTTAATTTGTTTTTTAAATGTAGAAATTTTATTTATTTCTTTTAAACGTGAATGAACCAAATTGAACAGTTTAGGTCCAAAGTAGAAAAAAGATCTTTGGGTTACAGTTTTGTAGAAAAAGTCTATGTTTATATTTAAATTAGTTGCTGCCCTTGTAAATGTAGTTCTTTTTGCGAAGTTTGCTTGTTTGAGGTACATCCTTAGAAGACACTGAAAGGTGTATATTTGTCTCACTTTTAGTACATTTGTATCCTGATATAATGAAATTGTTGGAAATAGTCTATTTTTACAAAATATAATTTTTAAAAGAGTATTTTGTGTAGTCTGCAATGTCTGCAGAGTAGTTTGTAAAAGTCCCTCCCCAAACTGTTATACAATATCTTAACAATGATTCGGCTAGTGAATTGTATATCATAATTAAATTTTCCCTAGATAAAATGTCTCACTATAGAATTTGTGAATTAGGGCTCGAAGGCGTTTATTAAGATAATGAATATGTTCTGTCCATCTTACATGTTGGTCAATCATAATACCTAAATATTTTATTACTTCTGTTTTTTGAATTAAGGGACAATTACAAAGTATATTTGTACATTTATAATTATGTAATTTAATTTGGATTAGAGGCTGATGGTGACTGTTCGAGAAAATGCAACGTATTTAGTTTTTCCAATATTTAGACTAAGTAAGTTGTAGTCTAACCAGATTTTTAATTTTTTTAGACATGCTTCCGTAGTTGTTTTCACTTCTTTCCATGATTTTCCCATTATTATTAAGGCAGTGTCGTCTGCGTAACAAACTAGTTTTCCCTCGAAGTTTTTGATTTTGGAGATGCTGTTTATGTATAACAAGAATAATATTGGTCCGAGCACTGTCCCTTGTGGTACGCCTATTTTTACAGTTGATTCGGAGCTTAACTTATTTTCAATTTTTACACGCTGTTTCCTATTTGTTAGATAGTCTTTAAAAAGTTCCAGAGCAATACCCCTAATACCATAGTTATTCAACTTGACAATAAGTTTGTTATGTTATGATCGACTGTGTCGAAAGCCTTGACCAGAAATACCGCCAGGCACTTCATTGATCCGTCCAAGGTCCTCGCAACTGATTGATAGAGATCAAGCGCGGCATCCTCAGTACTACAATTTTTAAGAAAACCAAACTGATTTGGAGTTATAATTTGATTGTGTTCTAAAAAATTTATTAATCTTTTTTTAAGAGCTTGTTCGAATAACTTCGCAAAGTTATTTATCACTGAGATAGGTCTGTAATTCGTGAGTTTACTATGGTCCCCGGTTTTATAAATAGGCGTAACTACTGATTCCTTCCATTTTACAGGTATTTTTCCACGGGTAAAACAAAGGTTTATGATATGAGTCAATGGATACAATATGTTTGTATGGATATGTTTGATGAGTTGACTACTAATTTCGTCTGGTCCGGGAGAACAATTGTTTTTTAGTTTATTAATTAGTATAATTAGTTCTGTTGTCACAGGTTCTATAAAGAATGATTACTCCAAGACAATATCATTTAGAAAATTGTGAGGCAGATCGGTTTTTTTTTATGGTTCTAGCCATATTGTCACCTAGATTTATAAAAAAGTAATTAAAAATGTTTGCCTTTTCATCATTATTCTTGATAATATTACCGTTTTCATTAGTAATATTAGTATTTGCAATTCGCGACTTATTTTTACTGTTAGTTACTTCATTTATAATTTCCCAAATTTTTTTACAGTTATTGTTTGCTTCACCAAGTTTGTTTTTGTAGTAATCATTTTTAGTTCTTCTTAGTAGTGAATTAAGTCTGTTTCTATATTCTTTATAGTATGCCTCCCGTTCAGGTGTACAGCTTTTAGTTAGTTTTTTCTTTAATGAGTCTCTTGTATGGATTGAAGTAATTAGAGCTGTTGTGATCCACGGTTTTAACTTACGGACTTTACGTTTTTTCGTTTTTATTTTAGTACATTTTTGAACATATTTTATAAATTTCCTGATAAAATTATCGAATGAAATCTGAACGTCGGTCTCGTCGATCACGTCATTTTTCGTCGCTTAATAAGTTATTGAGTTTTTTATAGTTTATGTTTTTATAAGTTTCTTCATTAATAGTGGTAGAATTAGTGACGTGTTGTTAATGGGTGTTATATGAATGAATGGTGTAAAATGATCGGTAAGATTTCTTTTGGAATACAGCAGGCTCAATATTGATTATATTATTTAAACTATTTTTTTTGTTGACGAAAATGTGGTCTATACAAGATTTGGTGGTTGCTGTGACCCTAGTAGGTTTATTGATGTAGGATATAAATCCATAAGAATTAAGTATATTAAGATACATGTTGGTTTCAGTTAACTCTGGTTTAAGTAAGTTGATGTTAATATCGCCTGAAAAAATTTCTAAACTTTGTTTTTGAAGTTGTTTTATATAAATTTCAAGAGCATCAATGTAATTCTGAGTACTGCTAGAAGGAGATCTATAATAAGCTGTTAGTCCTACCGTATGATTTTTATTAGTATTATGAGATTTGTATTCCATAGAAAAAGTAATTCTTAAAAACTTGATTCCATTTATATCTAGTATATTGACTGATGGTGTTAAGTAGTTTCTAATGTAAACAATAGTTCCGTCACATTTATTTATGGTTGAATTATTTTGAAATATCATTTATTATTTAAATCAAATTCTATTCCCTTTAAAGAAACGGTATTATATTTGCCAAGAAATAAATTCTAACATTTATTAATGGAATTAAATTAAATCTTTTAACTCAACACTAAATTAAAACGGTATTATTTCTAAAAGATAATTCGGTTTTTAAATGAAATACGGTCTCAATATAAAACGTAAAAAGCGAAACAAGGTTTTTTTACCTAACGGATTTATAAACACGAGAAAGAAAAGAAATCATCGGCGGTGGACTGATTTGAGAATGCGGCTATTATTCTGAACTGTAAATTTGTAATTCCATCTCGGGCCTGGTTCACCTGTCGATTCCCTTTCCATCTCAGAGACCCCTCGCCAGTCCCACCGCGCATCGATAACTCGATCGGCGTTGCGCATCGGTCTAAGCTCAGGACCAACATTTTAATCGCGCTTAATATTTATTAAAAATGAAAAATGAAAATAAACTGATTGAGGAAAAATTGACTTCATTGACTACCATAAAACAGCAGCTAATTTACTTATCAGCAGGCGGCCGTCTCTACGCAGAGACGTACTTACCCTAGCCAATAAGTTTTGTTCTATACGGAAAATTTGTGGAAAATAAATTAATACACTTGAAAACAATTTAAATAT